TCTCTCTCTCTCTCTCTCTCTCTCTCTCTCTCTCTCTCTCTCTCTCTCTCTCTCTCTCTCCCTGCTTGTCACAGTGGAAATGGATGGAATCATCTTCACGACTCATCTCGACTTGTTGGCGAAGACTAGAGAGCAGCTCTGCTCGGTTCTGCGCAGCTTGCTGTACATCAGTTGATCACAGTCGGGTGCCTCCAGTGCTAAACCTTGTGGCAGTGTGAAAATTCTCCACTCCCTTAAAAGGAAAAGGAAATAATGTCTACCAATTGGAAACCCTCTTCCACCCTGCAAACCTTTTGAGGTTGATCGGGCCTGTGTGGCTGTGTGAACCTTTTGTCACGTATATTGACCCAAATCACTTGAGACAAAGTACGGCTTCTAGTGACTCAGATCGAGTGTCTCTTTAAGGAAAAAAAAAAATTCGATCAGCATGTCACTCAACTTCCTGCCTTCTTCTGAAGTTTGAGTTTGATTCATTGATATTTCTTGCCCCGCTCAATGTAAGTCCACCCAACTGTGCTCAACTTGCTGTACTTGCTCAGTTTCCTCAGCTTGCTCAGCTTGGTCATGGTCATTCTCGCCGCTTCTCCACATTTTTGTCCCATCGGTGAATATCCCTGGCAAGCTCATCCAGGCTGCTGAATGCCACTCCCATCAGATTCGACTGGTTCCCACTTTGTTCTCGTGTGTTTTGGGGCGTTCAAGCTGACCATTCCATGATGGACGGCGAGGATTATGACGCTGGTGTGGAATGGAATGCGCCTGGGGAAGTGGGGCTCAGTCCTGGACAGCAGTATTATTCCAACGCCTGTGGAGAAGAAGGGCAGGATCCCTATGAAGCTCCATGCTCCCCCTCGGCAGGCAACTCGCGACAAGCTTCGTCAGGTTTCCGTTTTAAACTATCTTTTAATCGTGGCTCAAGCCGGAAACACTCACAACCCAAAGGTCAATCATCTCAGCAGTCAGGGGCAACAGCAGGTGCAGCAGCATATTCCCAAGGTCCGCTTCCATCAGCTCTATCTTACTACTCAGGTGGAGGTCCATCAGCATACCCCCAAGGTTCCGTCTCACCCGCAGCTGCAGCTCCGCCACCGCATTCCCAACGTACGCGTCAAGGTGCAGTATCTTATCCCTCAGGTTCATCTCCGTCACCATATTCCCAAGGTTTAGGTGGATCCCCTCCATCTTATCCTGTCGGTGCATGTCCGTGTCCGTCACCTTATTCCCAACATCCAATCATTGGTCCAGCCCCATCTTATAATGCAGGTGCAGATCCACGTCTGTCAACTTATTCCCAAGGTTCCGGTCCAGCCCCCATGTCTGCTCCTGCCGGTGCAGGTCCAGGTCCATCACCGCATCCCCATGGTTCCAGTGCAACCCCTTCATCTTATTCTCAGGCGGCAGGTGCAGGTCCAGGTCCCTCATCATATACCCATGGTTCAGGTGCAGCCCCTTCATCTTACCCTGCAGGTTTAGGTCCAGGTTCATCATCGTATACCCATGATTCAGGCACAGCCCCAGGTGTAGGTCCAGGTCAACAAACATGTACCCAAGGTTCAGTCAGTAGTCCAGGCTCACAATCTTATGCAGCAGGTTCAGGCTCAGGTCCATCACTGTACACCTCAGGAGGTTCGGGTCCATTAACCAGTTCTGCAGCGCCTGGTTTGCCAGGTGTCTGTCTTCCACCATCCCCATATTCCCCTTCAACAGCTCCGTTGCCTGGCCCTCCTGGGATGGGCGAAGCGTCTGACTGCCTTGCTAGTGGTCTATCATCTACGCCATCTTCTGGTATGGGTTCACCATCTGGTCTGCCTGGTGCAAACCCCCCTCAGCATCCTGCCCCATCCTTCGTCAGGTATCATAACTCCTACTCCGAGCCATGGGTTGGAATCGCTGCTTTGGATGCACGGGGAAGCATTGTTCCCCGACATCCTTTCCGGGGGGAGCTGTCCATGGTCCAGATCCCTATGCAGTACTTCTGTATGGTGTGCTTGGACGTAGTTAAGAACCCGGTCACTTTGACATGCGGACATGAAATGTGCAATGACTGCTTTGCCAAGCGAGTGCCACGTGGATCACCAACGGTCTGCCCTGTTGTTGATTGTGGGAGGCCTTCTAATGATGCCCCAGTTCCGAACGTTAGCAACCAGGCAACAGTGGGCAGCATCCGAATCCGATGCACAAATGGGATCTCATATGACGTGCAGTCAATGAGGTATAAACGACTCAAACAGAATATCGAGGGAGTGCACCCACCTCCAGCAGATAACTATTGCCGGGAACAGTTGACGTTTGACACCCTGGAATCGCATTTACAAAAATGTCCCTACAGTTTGAAGCTGTGTCGATATCAACCTCAGGGATGTGACGAGGTCTGCTTGGCTCGGGAGCTCGCGCAGCACGAGGGAATGTGCACATTCAGAATGGCTGCCTGTCCTGAGTGTAATCAGGAAGTTCCACACACACGTCTGCAGGACCACATGGTCAAGGAATGTCGGATGGCAACTGTACATTGCACGTATGAAGACTTTGGTTGCTCATTCACAGGTTTGCGGTCAACCCTTGAGGCACATGTGGACAAATGCCCTTTCGGAGAGCCAAGTGTGAGGGCCTCCTTCGAGGCACTCACTGCTCAGTTGAGCAGAATGAGAATCCAGGTGCAAGAGGAATGCAACTTAGTCAAAGATCTTCAGAGGCAGCTCCAGTTTTTCCGCCACCAGCAGGGTAGTTATCAGTAACTGCACGCCTGTACATGCGTGTGTGAACACGCACTCCATCTGTGTTTGCTGTGTGTGTGGATGTGCTTGTGTTGGTGTGCGTGTTGCATGTGTTTGCATGTGTTTGCACGGGGAGAGAGAGAGAGGGAGAGGGAGAGAGAGAGAGAGAGAGAGAGAGAGAGAGAGAGAGAGAGAGAGAGAGAGAGAGAGAGAGAGAGAGAGAATATTACTGATTGGCACCATGTTCACCCCTGCATGCGCCTGCAGTTCCATTTATCTGGAAAATTGTTAAAAATCTATAACTATATTAAGTGCTAGTGCTCATAGTCGAATTAAGGTTGCAGGAGAAGGCATACCGCTCAAACTGGACTCTTCTTGGAAAGTGAGAACGACTGCACTCTTCTTTTATTGTTCCCGTATGGCCCTTGTTCTTTTTCTTTAATATTTTATTATCTACGTCCTTTGCAAACAGTGCCCACTCAAGCTCGTTTATGAGAAGCCTAGTTGGGTGGGTGAATGGGTAGCTCGCACCTGTTCATTGCTACCACTACCTCCACCATTCCCTATCCGAAAGAAACAGACAGCCAGATATGAGGGTAGGCTGGTGCTTGTACTGATCAGAATTTGAGGCTATTCTGCTGGGGAGAGAACAAGAGGGAGAGTGGATGAATGAATAGAACACTGACACAGACATTGTGACGCTCGTCAAGGCCAGAACGAAAGAGTGAGCGATGGAGATAGAGTGAGTCGGTGAACGGGCAGTGAGTGAACAAGCGAGAGAGAGATTTGTGGGGAGGGCACACACACACACACACACACACACACATAGAGAGAGAGAGAGAGAGAGAGAGAGAGAGAGAGAGAGAGAGAGAGAGAGAGAGAGATTACTGGCTGAATTTGGCACGTATTGCATTGCACTACTGTGCTCCAGTTTATGGTGACAGGACGCGACTGTGCAACATGAGGAACAACATGGTGACCAGGTGATTGTCATCACAAGTGGTTAATAGGGCCCCTCCCTTCTGAGCCCATGGGTTACCCCTTCAACCAGACACAGAGAGAGAGAGAGAGAGAGAGAGAGAGAGATTATTGGCTGAATTTGGCACGTAATGCATTCCACAACTGTGTTCCAGGTTATGGTGACATCACGCGACTGTGCAACATGAGGAACACCATGGTGACCAGGTGATTGTCATCACAATTGGTTAATAGGGCCCCCCTCCCTTCTGAGCCCATGGGTTACACCCTCAACCACTGAAATAGGCATTTGGTCACGTCGTAAGAAGTGTTGAAATTTGTTTTTAAGTCGTCAGAAAACGCGAAGAGCTTGGGGTCTTTTAACCATCTGCTCACGAATATTTTTCTTTCATTCGCATTTAAAATCTAAAATGGGTTGAGACTTCAAGTATGCTGCCAATAGTCGCAGAATTGCAGAAACCTATGTTTCACCCTTTTCTATGGGACGCTGGACCCGATTCCCAGCATGTGTTGATCTCCATGAATACGAAGGAGGTATGAATGCAGAATTCAGTACCATGGAGGACCGTGAGCTCCCTGGGACCGATATCTACAACAAACTCGTAAAGCTTAGTAGGCCGCAGGTGTAACGCTGCGTGCTGATATTTTTGGTTTTCTGGTAGTTGTGGACTTTCAATTTTGAATCCAAGGGCCGGCATTGCCTGAAACATGCTTTTCGACAAAATGTGTCCTGGCCTAGTTGACGGACACGTGGTTCATTGTGGAATTAGCTTTTGGTGCAACAAGAGTGCCTTGCGGCCGTGGATTGACTGTTGTCGAGCGGTGTCTGCTTGAAGTCCGGCGTGGCGGGTGGTCGATCGTGTCAGAGAATCGGGGTGGCCGTTCTTTTTTTTCTGCCTTCCTAGGAGTTGCTTTTTTAGTACTAGCTGAACGTAAAGTAATGGCTTCTATGCAGCGTAGAAAAGGTCCGAATGTGGTAGGATTGTTTGGGTTATTACAACCTTTAGCAGATGGTTTGAAATTAATGATAAAAGAGCCTATTCTACCAAGTACTGCTAATTTATTCATCTTTATAATGGCTGATTTGGATTCCGGCGTGGCGGTTTCTTTTTTTTAGCATTGTTTTGTTTTCTTATGCTGTCGTTACTTTGTTTTTTTTCTTTTTGCTGTCCTCTACGTGTGCTGTCGTGATTTTGTTTTTTCCTTCTTTCGGTCCCTTTTTGTTTCAGAAAGTGGATTCGAATGTCCAAATGTGTAGTTCTTTTCTTCTTTTTGCCGAGCGGTCTCTCCAGTCCTTTTGGGGCCTCACTCAAGTACTCACCGAATGTTCCCCTAGAACATGGCAACGTACACCCCCGTATTTTGTGTCTTTTGTGCAGTGTGGTGAGTATTGGAGCGAGGCACTTGACCTCTATGGAAGGTCGAGGCGCCCGTGGATCATCGGAGGGTCCTCACTAAATGTGCAAAATGAGAATGAATCTTCCCCTAGAAGATGAAATGTACACCCCCATATTTTGTCTTTTTTGCGGTATGGTGGGTAGTGGAGCCAGGCCCTTGATCTTTTTGGAAGGCCCACGCAGATCACTGTCGCATTTCGGAGGAAGGGCCTAGCCCAGTCGGTACACCCACGAACTGGTGATATGTAAACCTGAGTTCGAATCCAATGGAATACAGAGCTCTATTTCGTGCGGAGGGCCTTGCCCAGTCAAATACATCCTCAAACTGGTGAAATGCAGACGCAAGTTTGAATCAATAGACGGGCAGCGTGTCCATTTGTATTTTTTCTGTCCGGTGTCCTTCATCCCTCGGCGACGCTTATGTGTTCACTGTTTTTTCGTCGTTAGATCTAAGTAGCGAATGGTTTTTCATCTTCGTGAGCGCATCCTCTCACCAGAGAGAGAGAGAGAGAGAGAGAGAGAGGTGGTGGGGGGGGGGCGGCGCACTAATGTAGGGCTGAACCTGAGCACGTGAGGACGTGAGAAAGAGTCTGAACGTGATGAGAGAGAGAGGACTAATGTAGGGCCGAACATGAGAATGTGAGAGAGACGGCACACGTGACTAGGGAGAGACGGCTAACTTAGGGCTTATACAAGAGAATGCTAACGTAGGGCTGATACGAGAGGGGGCTAACCTAGGGATCATGAGAGGAAGTGCTAATGAGAGAGGCATAGCGAGACAGCAAACGTGACTAGAGAGAGAGGTCTAACTTAGGGCTCATACAAGAATGGGCTATCGTAGGGCTCTTACGAGAGGGGGCTAACCTAGGGATCATGAGAGGAAGTGCTAATGAGAAAGACAGAGTGACAGCTGACGTGAGAGAGAGGGCTAACGCGCACAAGAGAGAGAGAGAGAGAGAGAGAGAGAGAGAGAGAGAGAGAGAGAGAGAGAGAGAGAGAGAGAGAGAGAGAGAGTTCTGTTGCTTCATGCTCTTAGGTTGTCGGCTCCTCATTGTGTTTTCTTTTGTTTGAACTTTCGTTTCTTTTTTTTGCTTGCTGGCTCTCAATCTTGCTCACAAGAATGGATGAAATCCTACCAATCGGTGTTCTTGATCGAACGGACGCACACCGGGAAGGGGGAGAGAGAGAGAGAGAGAGAGAGAGAGAGAGCACTTGCTCTTGCGTTTTGTCACTTGTTTTTCCTTTTTCTTAATTCAACTTACTGCTGTTCTCATAGATTTTCAGGTTAGGGTTTCTGAGAAGTCGAGTTACAGTTTGCCACAAAACATTGACGTAAAGTAGGCCACTGACCGAACAGGCGCACACGCATGTGTGTGTGTGTGTGTGTGTGTGTGTGTGTGTGTGCGTGTGTGTGTGTGTGTGTGTGTGTGTGTGTGCATATAAGCGCAAACGCTGCTCTTCAGTACAAATAGTACTTCGAACGGCCACCCACCAGGAAACGACCATGCTCACTGACTTGAAGGCGATTCTCACATAACTGCCCATCACATGGAAACTGACTTGGACTTATGACCTTGGCAAAACTCAGAAAGACGCAAGGCAACACCTAGGCTGGAGGGCACGGGGGAGGAGGGAGGGAAGACAAAAATAGGGCAGTGAATCCAAGAAGAAGACAACAGAGGACAACCAGAAAAAAATAAAGTCCCAAGAAACACCAAAAACCGAAAAAAAATAAAATAAAACTGATGATGATAAAATTGTTTCGTCGGAGTTGCACCAACTCATCAGGAGGCTGAACCCTCGACAATCTGCGGAATCCCCAAATTTGATTGTTTGGGTCATGAACCCTTTGACCCTTGTTGAAGGCAGATTGTCCCCAAGAGGAACATAGGAGCGGGCAGCAACCCTGTGAAGCACCAGGCAACACAGTAGAGGCAATACGGCTGCACAACGCCAAAAACGACTGCAAGGAACGACATGGCACGCAGGACATGCAGCGCAGCAACCATGTAGTGAAGCACAAGACAACACAAGCAAGGCAACAACACTGCAGGGGACGACAAGGCGACCGGACCAGTAGCTCGGCAACCATGGAGCGGAGCACAAGGCACCAGCAACAAGGCAACCAACCTAAAGGGCACACAAGCGGCAAACACAGAAGGCACGGCCAGCAGATGAGCAGCACGGCAGCGAAGCGCAAGGCAACACTAACAACCTGGCCACACCACGCAGTGAAAACAGTAATTCGCAGAGAGCCACATGCGAAGCAAGCGGGACAGGCAGCAGGGCAGCGGCGGAGCGCAGACGAGGACGTCCACACATCCAACACGGAGCAAAGCAGCACATGACCTACTCACATCACGATTGAACCCCGCAGACTGTTGGTTCCCACCACCGACTGAGCCAGGGAGTCACTCTTTCAAACATTCGTTATCACCTACAGGCAACGCAGACATCCCGAACCAAGCGGTCCCCATAAGAGTGCGGTAGGCACTCCAAACGAGGAACCACCGACTGTTTGACACTACTTAAGGGTGCTCAGTTTGGGTAAACAAAAATACCTAGAAAAAGATCAGCGGGGGGACAGACAACAACAGGAAAACAGACAAACATAAAACTGATTGTGTGTGTGTGTGTGTGTGAGAGAGAGAGAGAGAGAGTACTCGCACTTGCGTTTGTGAAGCTTTCATGGGCTTTCATCCTTTCATTTTGTCCCTCCTTTTCTATTGGTTCAATTTTTTCCTTTTATCTCACTTCTGCTTCATGTTGTTCTCATCTTATTTCGCGGTAGGGTTTCAGAGTAGGCGAGTGACAGTTTGGTCCGAAATATTGCCGCAAAGAAGGCCACTGATTGAACTGGCGTGTGCGCGAGCGCA